GTCTTGATAACAGCAGACTGACTGCAGGTAAAATATACGACAGGTCTGGACCACTCCTGAGTTTTGTTAAAATCTGAAAAAATCTAAGAATATGAGAAAATTGGTGAATGTCACAAGTTCTCCTAAATCACTCGTGTCCACAACTGAAGAACAAACCCGTTCGTACGAACGGTTTTTGCATGAGGCCCGATGTTCTTGGAAGATTATTTTCTTTAACATTGTTCTGTTGAACTCAGGCCAGAAGAGCTGAGAGCAGCGCAGAGGTCCAGGTAAACTCTCAGGACCTCCAGGCTTTGATCAGAGAGGCCACACTGGTCCTTAAAGAGCCTCTGCAGGCCATGGCAGCTCCTTTACGCACCTACAGGAAGAGACTACAGGTCGGGCCCACTGACTCCTTCTTTTTAGAGTCCACTATGTTCATTTACTCTCTTTTGATGACCAGAAAGCTCTGGTTTGTTTTTTGCACTTTAGTTCACTATGAGGAAGATAAAAGAAGTGGACCTGGAGGCTCTTGGTTCCTCTCCAGAATTTCCCACTGATCAGTTAGAAAAACTGAGACTTGCAGTTCCTGAAGTATGAACAAGTTTCCTCAGATATCTACTCTGAATGCAGTGGTTATCATTTTGATGTTCTCCACGTCTCCCTGTCTTCAGGTGATGCAGACTTTGTTCGAGGCAGAGCAGGTTTGTGCAGAGATGCAGCACAGTGTATCTGGGTTGGACACGAGATTAGCTGAGCTCCTCCTCTGGGAGATGGAGGCCAGAGAGCTGTACGAGCTGCTGAGGGCTGCAGATCCACGACCCAAACAGCAAGGCCAAGACCCCAGAGCCAGGGTAAGAGCTAATAAAGGTGCTACTGCTTTGTGCCGTTTCATGTGGGAAACTAAATATATATCTTTGCTGCTATTTGCTCACTTGTCCAAGTCATGGCAAATCTGAAAAGTTCAACCAGACAAACAAAAACCCTAATGACCCTCACCCCCAATTAACAGTGCCTCCACTCCGGCATGATGTCCACAGTAAAGGTGCGCCCATCAAACTCAATGAGAGCATTGACACTGCATCTGCAGAGTGGCAGCGTGCACACCACCATCCACCAAAATTACATTCAGTCTTATTTTACTAAATGCTGGAGTMAGTGTAAAGTCAATCAACAAAGATCACACCGTACCAACAGGAACGAGCACAACATCCGTATTTTCTAAATAATTCATCAGAAATGTCAACATTTTGTCAAAATCCTAGTCCGTCCGTCCATCTTCTTCCTCTTACCTGGGGGCAGGTCTCGGGGGCAGCAGTCTAAGCAGAGAGACCCAGACTTCCCTGTCTCCAGCCACTTGGACCAGCTCCTCTGGGGGAATCCCAATCCACAAAACACATGTAGACTGGTTGAACTCCCATGACCCCTCCAGGACCCTGCTGAGAATTCTAAAATCTTAGTTATATTAATAAATATATGAATATAATTTATACATGCTGTCAAAATATATAATTGTGTTTGGGAAGCAGATGGCAACAAGCAGCATATGTACACACACAAAACATGGATTTTATTTTAAAATATGGATTATAAAAAGACCTCATGAACTGACTGACTGAATTAATTTAGTCTGACTTCCACATTATCACCAGCTTCATTACACGATTTCCTGCACATACCTCCCAGAGCACCTCAGGGCTCTGCACTGGAGCTGAGCTGCAGTCAGTGTAAACTGGGGGTCAGGAGAGAGGGCGGGGGCTTTGTTTTTACTTAAAACTTTTAGATTTAACTCTGTATTCATAAAAAAGCTAAAGATTAACTGTAATTTCTGTTTTCAGCTCACAATTTCCCGTGGTCTGCAGCTGGAGGGTCAGGTGGTCACAGAGGAGCAGGACCTGCAGGTTATAGTCATGACGAGTCAGAAGAACTCGCCCATGCAGTACCTTCATGCTTCTGCCATGCAGGAACGAGTTCAAGCTGCTGTGGCCCAGTGTCAGGTTAGCTGTTTACACACACACACACACACACACACACACACACACACACAAAAAAAACAACTCAGGTGTTTGTCGGACCACTT